CCCCAAAACCCCAAAACCCCAAAACCCCAAAACCCCAAACTTATTGATAGTAATTGAAATATGCTTACTAATAAGGCAGAGATTCCTGAGCTGAAGGACTATGCTGGGTGGATTTCTTCCAGCATTAATACTTCCGAGGATAGGAAGTCCTTCGATTGAGTATTAACACTCAACTGGACTCAGTTAAGGCCATCTCTCTATTCGAGAAGCAAAATTATAAACTATGCAAACATAGCTAGTTTTCGCAAATTTTAGAAATCAACATATTTGAGTATGTATTTTATAGTTTTTCAAGATCAGATGACTCAAAACTAGGTTTTTTCTGTTTGAAAGACTTAGAGAAATGCGAGCCATTGTTGAAGTCCTCAAATGTCTTTTGGTAAAAATATCAATGCTTCTCAGCTTTTGGAGTAACTGCATACTCCACAGAGCCGAACTTTCTGAGCTTTGACGCTCTTCTTTTTGACGCGATATCATTGTTGTACTTATTTCAAACTGTTGATATGCCCCTCTTGGCCAGATTTCTGAGGTGATGGTGACAATCCTAATTCTTCAGTATCGAGGAAATTGTTAGAAGTGTTGTTATTTGCGTGTTGTTCTACTGAACTTTCATCATTATGAGAAGGCGATTCATTAACAAGTGAGCTATCATAGTCATCTTCCGATTCTGACTCCGACTCTGGTTCAACTTCACAGTCAAAATCTAAAACAACTAGTTAAAACTGAAATTTATGAAAATCCGGTGAACGATGTAAATACCTTCAAGATAGAGCTCATCTTCGAGGTCTATGGAGATGCTCTTGCTGCTCCTATATCTTGGTCGTTTCTTTAGATCTTGTTCTCTTAGAGGGATGTCGCCTTCATAGCATTCAAGTGACTGTTTTCTATTTTTATGCTTAACATTTTTCTGATTTTTCAATGCTGACTTATTGTTAAAAACTTGTTTTAGAGACATCCCTTTTGATCCATGGAAGGTGTACAAATCAGGAACCCATGGAGGGATGGCTTCCTTTTTAGCAATCCTATCCCAGTCAATACCATCAAAGAACTGATGGTTCTTAATCTCACTGCAGTCTTTGGGACGATCAAGTGGGTACCTTGAGAGGAGCCACTCTATTAAGTCTTTAGTCACTTCGTCTATCTCATGAGGAAAGCAGATGGAGCCGCTAATGATCCTTTTCTCTAACTTTTTGATATCTCTAGAGTGGAAGGGAGGGAACCCAACAATCATCTCATAAAGGAGACATCCTAAGGTGTAAAAATCAACTGTCTTAGAGTGCTCATAGCCAAGAATCATTTCAGGTGGAATGTACTCTGGAGACCCTCAGAAAGTAAGACTGGTCTCATCTTTCCTCTTTAACTGCTTTGATAATCCAAAGTCTGAGATTTTTACATGCCCATCGATATCAAGCAAAATATTTTCAGGTTTTAAATCTCGATACATTATGTTCTCAGAATGGATCATGTCAAGTGCAACAACTATTTCCGCTAAGTAAAATTTGACAATATTTAGATTGAGGTCCTTCTTAGAAAAGTGAGTCATAAAATGGAAAAGATTCCCTCCAATTCAAGGGTCCATTGCAAAACAAAGTTCTGTGGAAGTCTGGAAGGTGTAGTGCAAACCAACTGTGAATGGCAAACCTGTTAGCTTTCTCATAATTCTTGCTTCAGTCAGGTAAACGTTTTTAATTAGTCTTTATATAAGTATTGTCCTTCTTGATGATTTTAAATAGCAAAAAGTTTTCCTGTGTCCTTCTTTCTTGCAAGCACCACGTTCGAGTAGCCTCCGCTGCCGATAACTTTCAAGAAAGTGAAACTGTCTTTGGTCACCTTAGGCTTGTCCTCGGCTTCTCTAGGGTTCTCGCTGCCTTTGGCGTACAGCACTACCAGAATTGTGCTTTCTTTGACTGGGTGCAACGAATTCTTGGGCTTGGTCAGGTAGTAGTCCAGCGATGAAATCGAGTCTGTTGACTTCAGTCCGACGATCCGTTGTTCAGGAACGTCTCCGAGCTTGCCAGTGGCATGCAAGTGGTCGTACAGCTTCGAAACTTCTTTGAGCAGCCAACCTACTGTAGAATGAATGCTGGGGACTTTGACAATCTCAATTCTGCCTTTGGTTATTTTGACTCTGAGAGACTTGGTACCAATGAGGGCGGAGTGACCTTTGTGGAGGACGAGTGATCTCTTCTTGTCAGGGTCTACGTACTGTATTTTATAGTTACTAGGAACAAACTCTAGCGACGAAATAACACCCATTATGAATAACTTTATTTTATAATTTCTTTCGGCAACTTCTTTTCAATACTTTTTTGTTCACAAGGGGTTTTGGGGTTTTGGGGTTTTGGGGTTTTGGGG